TGTGACATCAGTTTGTCAAGTCAAGCTTATTACATAATCTAATTTATTCTCACAATAAACACTTAATGTGAGAATAAATAATGTGATAGTCAGAAGTTGAAGTCTCAATGGTTAGTGAAATATTCATTTTGTTACACCGACGTGCGATTACTGAAATAAAAAACATAGAGGCAGGGCAGTTGACTCAGAACCTGAAAGTCCCAGGTTCAACTCCCAGCCATTCCCATATGTTGTGGTGTCTGAGCAAGACACCTAATCCCTAATTGCTCCCCGGGTGCTTACATAACTGCTCACTGCTCCACCTGGGTGAATCCCAGGCGCGATGGGTTAAATCCAGAGAAACAATTTCGCCATTGGATGGGAACATACAAGGAAGACAACACATAGCACTTCATCATAACTTTTTTTTTTAATTGTGAAGAAATAAATTGTGTTTAATATTAAACAAAGAGAAAAAGTATAAATGCAGTGGGAATGCTGAGTGCTGCATGGCTTTGCTGTAATTTGCTAATTTTAAAAAACTCAGCTGAAGCAGCTGAAATGCTAAATGCCTTTACATAAGGATAAAATCTAAAAATCATTCAAAAACATGTTTAAAGTATCAAATGACTTGAAGTGAAAAGTAACAAAATTCTAGACAAAATCTCAAGATTTAGATTAGGTTACTAAATGTAGCAAAAGGTTTGTATTAACTAAGAGATGCAAGAAATAAAACTAATAGCTAAAAGCCCAAACAAAAGTTATGAAAAAGTAGCATAAGGCTGTAAAAGCACAAAGCAACAAAAAGCTTGCTAAAACACTAAAAGCTAATAGTAGCATGATTGGTGCCAACAAAAGGCCTGCTCAAAACTAATAGGAGAAAACAATAACTAAAAGCTAAACGAAGCAAAGCAGTAGCTATAAGCTAAAAGTAGCAGAACAGCAGCTAAAAGCTAAACATAAGATGACAAAAACAACAATTAAAAAATTTTTTTTTTTAAATTGAGCTGATAAATGAGTCTGAAGCTGAAGTTTTGGTTTGTATTTTACTCAGACATGAATCCAGAAGATGGGGATTATCATCTTTTCTGTTGTTGCTTTAACGTCTCTGTGAAGAACTGGAACGTAGCTTCAGCTCCTGTCATCACTTACGAGTTGGAGGAGGATTTTTCCCACTGCTGCCAAGAATACAAGATGATCACTGACACAATCAAATGTAGCTATTCACACAACCATTCGCCTGCAGGGGAAAGAAAACAACAGACGAGAAAAGAAACATTTGAATGAAGGTTTAAGATGCAGAAAAATGTTTAGGGGGCTTTGACACGCATGCTCGTTTGAAATGAGACCCTTCACACTTCTCATGCAATAAAAGAATATCACGCAGGACTTGCTGTGAATACGAATCCTTGATGGAGTTTAGTGTCCACACTGCTAATGAGCCAGGATAGAGAAAAAGAGAGAAAATTATATTTTAAACAAGCTGACAAAACTGTAATGACTGAAAATGAGGAGGCTTTCTGCAAAACTAAACACAGAAATGTTTTTGTCGCCTAAGGAGGGATCTTCAATTGAAACCCCCTCCGTGCAATGATCAAAGCACAAGCCAACTTAAACGTGCACACACCAACACTTCCACCCCTGGGCTTCAGGGACTGAATTGTTGCAGATGATTGCAGGTGTCCAGCACTTTCTCCTCTCAGAGCTCAGATGTTGTGACAAATTCCTTTTAAAAGGTAAGCGGGGTCAGAAACGTTGCCTTGCCTCCTTCAGTTTACTTGCAACATGCTTGCACACACACGCGCACACACACATGCACACCCAAAAACCTGAAGATGTCTGTCAGTGGACGTGGAAGCAGCGTGGCCTGGATTCCTTGCATGTGCACGTGTGCTACACAGGTGCAGTCAGGGACACGGAGGAAGAACTGGGCCTCCTGCCCTTTGAACTTGGTCTTGAAAAGCAAGCTGCTGCCGCTTCCTGTCAAGTAACGGCCATGCCTCGGAGCTCCGAGACGACGCAAACTGGTTCAGAAATGAAGCGTTCATTAGCTGAGCACAAAAGAATCCAACCTGATGGCTCACACTGATGTCTGAAATGACTTGACAGAGAACAGTAACCGTTCACACACGGCTTTTATTTACTTATAGCATACAGTTATTTCTCCCCGTCTCTGTGTGTGCATGTGTCTCCGTCTGTTAGCAAAATATTTTAGAAACCATTTGCTAGACTTTATCGACACCTTCAGAAAGTAATCACTGAATGTACATCTACAACCGGTTAGCTTTTGGAATCAATCGCAGTCAAGATGATCTCCAAAGCCAACTGAATATTATAAACACAAAAATGGACACAGCTCAGTCATTTTTACAGAAATTAAGCTGAAAGTTGGTGTGATAGTCTTTCATGATGCATACTCTGAGAACTATGCCCTGTGAAACGCATGTACTTAAAACTTCTGTATTAACTGCCATCAACAGCAATGCTTGTCTGTTAGCAAAATATTTTATTCGCCACTGGATTAATGTTAATGGAATTCTCAGAAAATAATCGCTGAATGTACATCTACAACTGGTTAGCTTTTGAAATCAGCCCTTTTAAAGATGGCTGCCACAGCTAATGAACCTTAGCAAACACGCAAACGACCATAACTCAGTCCGTTCTACAACGTTTAAGCTAAAACTAAGTGGGTTACAGCAAATAATGCACAATAAATTGAGAGGAACGCATTTAACAAAATATTAGGCTGTAAAGTTGTTAACAAAGTGTGATCAGAGCAGATGTAAGCTGATCTTTGTTAAACCGTAACATTTAAGGCGTTATGCAATATTTCAATATACGCTTGACTGGTGTTTATGTATACATTTATTTTGAACATAATTTTTCTGCAGTTTTGTAGCAATATTTATAGATTCAGTTCAGTTTATTTATACAGTATATAGCGCCGAGTCACAACAGAAGTTGTCTCCGAGCGCTGTACAGAAACATTCACATACATAAAAAGCCAATTAGAAAAAGTTCTCTATCTAAGGAAGCCAGCAGATTTGAATCTTCACGTTGTCACAGTCGCCCATCCTGAGCAAGCACAAAGGCAACAGTGGAAAGGAAAAACTCCTTTTTACCTGGAACAAACCTCCAGCAGAACCAGGCTCAGGACGAGCGGCCATCTGCTTTGACCGGTTGGGTTGGAGAGGACAGGAAGGAGAAATAAACACAGAATGACGGGTCCAGGTGTAGTTTCTATAGGAGGAAAGACAACAAACAAATGTTAAGATAGAAATAATTACAAATACAAACAGGCAGATTAGAGCAAGTAAAGACAGCAGCAAAGTGAGAAAATGTAGTCAGTTTGGCCTCCATCACAGCATAACTAAGGAATAGCGCAGGAAACCAAACCAACCCTAACTATAGGATTTAGCAAAAAGGAAAGACTTAAGCCTAATCTTAAAAGTAGAATGTGTCATCCTCACAGACAGAAAGTGGAAGTTTGCTCCACAAGAGAGGAGCCTGATAACAGAAAGATCTTCCACACATTCTGATTTTGGGAACTCTAGGAACCACAAGTAAACCTGCAGCACGAAGTGCTCTGTTAGGAACATATGGAACAATAAGATCAGTAATATAAGAAGGATCTAGGTTGTTGAGAGCTTTGTAGGTTAGACGTAAGATTTTGAATTCAATTCTGGATTTGACAAGGAGTCATTGGAGAGAAACTAAAACTGTAGAGATATATGATCTCTCCTATAGTATATTTAATAGATTATTGCAAAATGGTTTAAATTTATTTTAAAGACTTTTTCCCAGCAGATTATTTTTGAAAGTTGTATTGTATCATGTCAGAAAAAAAAAATGTATCAGGACTTGTGTCCAGACCTCAAATCACTGGTTCTGGTTCAAGGTCAGGGCATAATTTCAGTTCAGTCTATCAGCAGCCATGGGAAATGTTGAGTGTGGA